CCTTACCTTAATTGAAATCGGCTTTCTGCCGCGGCGCCCTTTTAAAGCGCCCTTCTGTTGCCGCGCTGTTGTCGCGGCAGTGATGACGTCGCGGCTTTAGTGACACGCTTATGTCTGCGGATAAGGGCTTCGCGGTTTTGTCGTGCCACGCACATTAGGAGTGGATGTGGGGGAGGCTGCAATTCTAGTATCTTACTCAACCTCAAAGGTTATCAAGGCAGACTGAAAAAGGATCTCAAGTCAGCCAGGCCAAAATCCTGGAAAAACAGAAAGCAGGGGGCCTCCCCTTCAAATGTACTTTTCTGAACAACACAAAAGTCCTAGATACAGTCCCTTGACTTATGGCCACAATTGAACATGGAATCTCAATCATTGAGCCAAGTGGTCATTAGGCGAGACATCACATAACTACTCACGTGGCTGATTTACTCAATGACTTAACATGCCCAGATATGATCATTAAACAATTCTGGAAGTCATGAAGCAGATGGAGTCCCAGATAAGGAGTAGAAGGTGCCTGGCAGCGGAAATCCTGCGGAGGGAGGAGAGGCTGTGCTCAGGAGCTGAAAATTCTCCTTGCCGAAATCCAAGCAGGATTTTCAGCTTTTGGGGGAGACACATTCCATGTAGCTTGTGCCCTGAGCCTTCCAGGGCCTACCCCACATTCCTGAGGTGCTGCTTACTTTATTGCACTGTCTCTCCATCTCTGCTTGGATTTCAGCTCCCTCTCCTTTCTGTGATCTGGCTGAAAGAGCTGCCTGCCACAGGATGTCACCTGTGCTCCTTGGGCGGGAAAGGATTGCCTTTGTCAGGGTGCAGAAATGGAGCTCAAATCATCAGGATCTGATCTTCACTTCAGCTCCCTGTGGAAGGATCTCATCTGTCCCCCATGTGCAGAAGGAAACTCCTTCCATAGGATGTAGAAATGGAGCTCAAATCACCAGAATCTGAGCCTCATTTGGCATCCCGCCAAAGAAGTTCAGCTCCCCTTAGAAGGCAGCTCATTCAGCCAGCGCCCAGAGATGAGAGGGAGTCATCTTGACATTTGGCAGCAGCTCGCTACCTTCCCTGCCAGCTTTCCCTTTGACTTTCTGGGGAAGCTGGCAGAGAAGATTGCAAATGGTGATCAAACGATTACTGAGCACTTGACAACCAGTCGGAAGATTACCAAGCACCCAGATCGCAATCGCGAGACCATGGGCTGGCGGTGGACCTTTTACGAAAGAACTGCTTTACGGGCCATTAAACACCTTTACTGAGGAGCATGTCTTAACTTTGAATATAGTGATTAAATGACTGCTCATGAGTTGAGAACTACTTATAAGTGTTACTTTTACAAGCCTGTCTTGTATGTTTCAATGAGTGCTGCTTTGTGATAAATGTGGGGAGACATTCTCTGCATGCACTTGTGGTTCTTTTCTTCCTGCCTCTTGGTACTGTGTGCTGCCACAGCAACTGTGCCTTTGTGGTGCTGAGTGCCTTTTATGGAGTAGTATTTTCCTTTCTGTGTGTGTGTTTTTTTTTATTAGACAATAGAGTAAGACTCTAGAATCTTTGTCTAGGCACTTCCACCCTATAATCATGTGCAGATGAAAACATGGGAAAAGGGAGACCTTCGCCATCCTAGCTTAAGAAAAGCATCTGGGATTCACATTGAAACTATAAATCCTGAATAAATAAAAGAGTTGGAAGAGTCTCAAATTCAAATCTCTGCTTCTGCTATCGAGGCGTCTTCAAAGTGAGAACCACATACGATAAAACAACAACAAAAATTTAGAACAATAAAGCCTGAGGTGGACCAAGCAATAATGAATATTAAAATAGTTTTTTTTAAATGAATTATTGCTAAAGATTTTTCCTCTGCTGTTGATCCAAACATTTCTATCTTCTAAAGCAGTGATGGCTAACCTTTTTCTCCTCGCATGCCAAAATCTCACTCATGTGTGAGACAGCCCCCCCTCCCCCGGTGCGCGCGACACCCCTGCGCCCCGTTTTGGGCCTAGTAGGCCTCCCTAAAGTCTCCTGGGACAAAAAATGGGCCACGGGGGTGGGCGCTACACTCCCCCCTGTGCTTCCCCCCTCCTCCCACACATGCATGTGCGACCCCCCCAAATACACTTGCAGCCCCCCACCTCCCCATGCATGTGCGTGCGTCTCACACATGCATGGCAGAAACATAAAAATCAGCTGGTCAGCAAGCTGGGCGAGAGCTCGCGTGCCCACAGAGAGGGCTGCATGCGCCATAGGTTTGCCATCACGGTTCTGGAGCTTTGTGTGCACCAGCCCATGTGGCATGGCAATGAAGATGTTGGAACAGGAGCAGAGAGTTGTGGATTTGAATCTCTCCTCAAGTACAGAAGTTATCTAGAGGATTTTGGTCTGTTCACTTCTTAGCCCCAACTTTCTGATAAGAGGAGAAAATAGAATGAGGGTGTACTTTATGTGGCACTTTTGAGTTCCTCTACAAAAGGTGGGTCAAAAATAAAATAAATAAAAAATTTAAAATGAGATAATGATTAACCCATTTTAAAATACATAACAGAAAAGCTGAAGGCAGAAGAGGGAAAGCAACAGCTTAATGGTCACTTGTGATGCAGTGGCAGGCTGGGTCCAAGTAGAATAATTTGATGGAGCATGTTTTTCGGCTGAATTGAAGAATAGCTCTGATGTTATTTCATTTTGCCATAACCTTTGAGGATAAAAGCTGTTGAGGAATTTGTACAGGTAGTCCTCGACCTGCGACCACCGTTGAGCCTAAAATTTCTATTGTTAAGTGAGTTTTGCCCCATTTTATGACATTTCTTGCCCAGGTTGCTAAGCGAACCACTGCAATTGATAAGTTACTAACCTGGCTGTTAAGTGAACCTGGCTCCCCCATTGACTTTGCTAGTCAAAAGGTTGCAAAAGGGGACCACCTGACCCAGGGATGCTAGGTTTAGGTTTATTGGATTTATATGCTACAACGGTCACAAGTATGAACCGGTTGACAAGCATCTGAATTTTGATCACATGATCAGGAGGATCCGGCAAAGGTTGTAACTGCGAAAAATTGTCCTGAGCTACGTTTTTCGGAGCCGTTGTATCTTTGAACGGTCACTGAATGAACTGTTGTAAGTCGGGGACTACCTGTGACATCAAGTATCCCAGTGAGGCCTCAGGATCCTCCCTGCCCCACATCCAGCTCTAAACCCCCAAGTTTCAACCTTGTCATTCTGCTCTCTTTTGTTTCTTCTGTTGACAGGACTAGCAACTGCCGGGGTGAAGGAGGCTGAAAGCGCCGTTCCCACTCCACGTGGACGTGAGGAAAGAGGTAATAGGGAGAACCTCAGCGTCCCTCAAGCCACGTTTTTTGAAATCTGTGCATCCCCCGTTGTGCAGGGCGAGATGATCGACCGCATTGAATATAATGTGGAACACTCGGTGGACTATGTGGAGAGGGCCGTGTCAGATACCAAAAAAGCTGTAAAGTACCAGAGCAAAGCCCGGAGGGTAAGCACTGGTCGGTGGTCTGTGCAGGAGGAGGGGGGGTATCTTAAGCCATCCTGTGGTGTCCCAGAGATGCAATGGCCGGTGTGGGAAAGTATGGTGGGGAATAAATTTAGACTTGGGCAGAAGCAAGCGTTCTTTTCTCCATATTGTTCAGGTGTGTCAAACTCGATTTCATTGAGGGTCTCATCGGGGTTATGTGTGACCTCAGGGGGCCAGGATGGGCATGGCCAGCTTGACATCACTCGTGTCGGGGGTGCCTGTGGTGGCCTGAGCACTGTGCCAGCGAAAATGGGCTTCCGAGCTCCGTTTAAGGCTGCGATGGCCTCCTGCAACCCTCTGCCAGCGAAAATGGGCTTCCGAGCTCCGTTTTTGGCTGCGATGGCGGAGGTTGACTGAGGAAACGGAGGTCGGGAGGGCCGCGCACGGCCCTCGTGAGCTCTGTTTCCGGTTGCGATGGCCTCATGAAACCCTCTGCCAGCAAAAACAGAGCTCAGGAGGTCTGGATTCAGCCCTCCCAAGCTGTTTCCGCCGGCAGAAGCACCGTGGGCCTGTCCTTCACTGTTTCCAGGGCAACCCTGTGGGCCAGATCTAAGCATCCTGCAGGCCGGATCTGACCCCCAGGCCTTGAATTTGACACCCCCAACATTGTTGAACAGCTCTCATTTGCCTTGAAATACATACACATAGATAGTGAAACTCACCTGTTCTTCCCTAATCAACAAGCCTTTAGCAGAAGCTCATATGTTAATCCCCCAATTTCTCTCTTGGGTGTTTTCTATTTTATTTAACTGGTCTTAAAAACTGTCGACCCTTCCCTTCCCATTTGTGGAGCCTTGTTCTCGGTCAACACAAGGGATTGCTGTTGGAAGTGGTCCTCCTTGTGTTGCTTTTCACACACTGCAACTTGGCACCAGCCCTTATTTTTCAACACAGGCAGTTTATTTCTTCACTTTATCATAATGTACATGCTGCCCCATCCCAAGGACTCTGGGTGGCTCACAATAAGATCAAAAGCAGAACAGTCAGAACAATTAAAATCAATCAAATAAAACCCCATCCTTTAGCCCAGAGATGAGGTACGATGGCTCCTTTATGCCTTGTGCACTTCAACTCCCAAGGATTCCTGAGGCAGCATGGCTGGTTCAGGAATTCTGGGATTTGAAGTCCACAAATCATAAAAGGGCCATTGTTCCCCACCCCTGTTTTAGGCCATAAAACATAAGAGGCTTCCACTCGGTACCCGGCCCAAAGGCCCATTGGAATAGCATAGTCATGGCTGCTTTCTGAAAGGGCAGCTGGAAAGGGCCATTCTCACCTTGGGGACTGCCACTAAGGAGTCCTGCTCTCTGACCTCTTTCCATGGACCTGTCTGAGGAGGGACTAGCCTTGTAGGGGATGGATAGATTATTTCTGTCTCAGACAAGCCTAAAGGTAACAAAAAACTGAACCATAAACCATGAGAAGAGAGCTGTGGTGGCACAGTGTTTAGAATACAGCATTTGTAGGCTAACTCTGCCCAGAGCCAGGAGTTCGATCCTGACCAGCTCAAGGTTGACTCAGCCTTTCATCCTTCCAGGTTGGTAAAATGAGGACCCAGATTGTTGGGAGTAATAGGCTGAATCTGTAAAGTGCTTAGAGAGGGATGTAAAGCACTATGAGCACTAAAGTACAAATCTAAGTGCTCTTGCTAAGTGCTCTAAACAGACAATAGTCATTATCTTGAACTGGATGGACCCAGAGGTTACCTGCTACAGTCCAGCTCCTGTAAGATTGCTATTCTTCTGCTGTGTCATCATTCATCATCCAGCAGGCAGGGGGCTGAATTTTGGACCAGTATAGCTTCCAAACTGCCTTTTATCTCAGGCCCCTTAGCCTAAATCATCTTAAAGCCAACGGGATTCTTACAATATATTTTAAAGACATTTTCAACGTTGTTACCATATTCTTCAGCCTAAAGTAAGAATTAAGTCACTGCTTGCACATTTAACAATCAAAAATATATGATAGGAAAGGAAAAAAGAGATGGAGGAGAAAGAAAAAGACTCAGGCTCCATTTCTTTAAGCTAAATAAATCAAATAAAAACAATACCCACCTACCTAAATTCTGGGGTGGGGGGGAAACATAAGAGAAAAGGAACAATGATGAAGGCATGCCGCAGATGAGCTGTCTGGAATCAAATCACATCAGGGGGTAGAACAGTTCCCTGAAACAGCCCTTGCTTCTCTTTGCTGTAACTTTCTACGCAAGCTCAGGAGCACCTCCCAACTCTGTGTTATTGCTGTTCCTTCCTTTCTCTTGCAGAAGAAGATTATGATTATCATCTGCTGCGTCATTCTGGGAATTGTCATTGCTTCTACTATTGGCGGGATTTTTGGCTAAAAGCCTGCAGCCCTCCGAGAACATCGCTTATGGGAGTAAGGAGATGAATAGGAGCACCGGAGCCACCTAGCCCACCACCCACTTGGGCCCATCCAAAACCTATAGCCTGGCGGACCAGCACTCTCGTCTCTAATGCATGATTATTTGTGTTAACACTATGTGTTAAGTACAGTGTACGTGTTGGGGGAGGGATGGTGCTGGGGGGTGGGTGGGATGGTGGGAAGGCAATGTATGCATGACATGCTCAAGGTTTCGGCAGTTCCACCACCTTTTGACCGCTTCCTGAGGGTCAGATCTCCTCAAACGGAATCCCCTTCCCCTTCCAGTGAAGTCCTCTTTCTTCTCCCCAAAATAAGAATTTGCTTCGACAGCTATGCACAGTTAATCCAGTCCCTGTCCCAGCAGGGACAAGGTCTGGTCACCAGAACTGTGTCCTCTGCGCGGCTGCTTGTAAGAGGTAGGGGAGCCTCTTTGGCAATAGCTGTTAGCTCCAACCAGGCCAGTCTTCCTCTTTTTCTAGCCATGGCCAAGGACCTCCTTGTAGTGTTGCAGGCCTGTTCATCTAGAGTATTCTGTATTTTGTTTTTAATTCTGCAGCTGCCCAGCCAGGAGTAAGAGATGGGTATTGGCCCACTAGGCTTAAATCTGTGTCTTCCACAGTTCTGCCCTGAGCACCATTTCTGTTCAGCGGAAACCTCACTTCTTTTCAATTTCTGAAGAACCAGCACCAGGCGTCTTTTCCCTTGCCTTCCTGTAAGCAAAATGTAATGGATTTCTTTAAAATGTCCTTCAAGGTTTGTTTACTTTTTTTAAAAAAAAAAAGCAGAAAGATGACCTGCAAACATGAAATTAGGGCAAAACCTCTAATAATTACTTCTAAACAACCAGCTCAATTGGAGGAGACAAAGGTGAGCCTCACCACATCCAATTAGGTCTTCTGGATATGTTAACCAAGGGCTGGTGGATGATGAAATGGGAATTTAGCATTGCATATTTTGGAAATGTGTTCCACACACGTTGCAGCCCCTCCATCACACAACACAACAAATCTTGAGTTTAAAATATTATGAGAAGCAGCTTTATATGGAGGGCCTATTAAAATGTTTGTGGCACTAATGTGTCCAAGGCGTTCCGTAGCTCTTACCAGACTTTCTGTCCCAATTTTTTTTAAAAATGTTTTATTTCAAAGTTGGCTTTTTGGTCCTTATACTGTTAGAAAATAAAATGGTGGCTGCCAAAAAGCAGGTGAAAGTTATTCAGGCTGGTAACTAAACCTTTTAACAATTGAATTGGAAAGTAAATAGAATTCCCACTCATTTGCCCTCTGGTAAATGGGTACTTTGTGACTGGGACAAGGGCACCTGTGGCATGTTGAAAATCCACTTATGCCCACTGGAATAACACAGCTGAGGACCGAGCCTTCAATGAAGGTTGGAACTGCATCAACTTTGTGCCTCGTTCCAGAAGTTACAACTGTTATCATGCCTGCAATACACATGTTGGGTGCTTGAGCTGTGCCAGAGCCCGAAACCTCCTTGGCCTTGAATTAGCCTCTTTGTGCTTAAGACCAACTAGACTAGTCCAGCTTCTGCCACTGTAAAATTTCGCTTTCAGTACCTGAGTATCTGACTCTTCACCTGTCCACTGCATTGTCCAACAGCAAAAGGCTCGTTATTAATCAAGTTCCACATTATTATTTTTTCCCCTGTGGGCTAATTGAGGATTTCACCAGGTGGTTCTTGAGAGAGAAATGTAGACTGCATTTCCTCTTAGAGGAGCTGCCTGGACTTGCTTCTGAGGACAAAACCGGTGGGGTCGGCCATCTTCTCCCTCTTTATATGTCACAAGCTGCCTCCTATGATTATTCCAAGCTACCCAGAATTTGCCAAACCTTCATCCCACCGCTCTGCTCTCTAGTCTTAACTTAGCTCTTCCAGCTGCTTCACAACACCAGCAGTATCTTTCATATCATAACACAGTAAAATTCTGGACCAAGAACCCGCTCTCCTCTCCTCGCCCCCTAAGCGAGATTTGCTTCTCATCAGTTTGCCTTAGTCAGTATTGGCTTATTGGGGAACAAGAAAGTGCACTAAGAGTCTGCTCAAGGATAGAGAGCTTACATACTCCTCATTGCAGGACCCAAGTCAAGATGGAGTGACGTAGCACAGATGAGCTTCAAAACCCATGTGTGCAACCTTGCAATTTCAGACCTAAAACACGCTTGAAAGACCAGTTGCAGATATTGGCTCCTCCCTGCCAATAGGGGGTGGTGTTTTTTTTCTTCCATGGTAGTCAGTAAATATTGAAAATAACCCTTCTGTTCGATAGTTATAATCAAGTTTCAATTTTGCTCCTGGCAGTTCCCCTGTTCAGCCACTTCCTTTATCCCCCCCCCCCTTTGGGGTGACCTTAATTAACTTTTCTATGATCAGCAGGGGGCAAAAGCTCGGCTGCAGCATTAGGGAGAGCTGCCGCTCCTCCCTCTCTTCACACCTTCCTTTGTTGCATGTCAAAAATAGAGCTGTTACTAGGACGTCTGTGCTTCAGGAATCTCTCCAGATATTGAGAGAAAACGTGTCAATCATCTTTAATCTTTTCTTTTTAAAAATAAACCCTCTGAAGTGCCACTGTGGTCTCACCTGTTGCAGTATTCAGCATTCTTGCAGGGGAAGACATTTCATCTACGCTGTCCCAGAGGCCTCCCCAGGAGTTGTAATGTTGCTGTACAATGTGAATTAAGTGCCCTCGTCTCTTGTGGCCCTCCAGCCTCTCTTTCCAGCTTGGGGAATCTGGAACTAATCCTCTATTGCAGTGTTTCTCAACCTTGGCAACTTGAAGATGTCCGGACTTCAACTCCCAGAACTCCCCAGCCAGCAAACGCTGGCTGGGGCACTCAGGGAGACGCAGA